CCAATAAAAACCATGGAAATAAGTGGATAGGAGAGTCATTACGTTATAATCATCGTGGCATGCTAGTTGAAGGTGGGCAACACACTTCAATTAATATGCCGCAGGAAGAATGAAACACTTTGTTAAAAAGTAGAACAAAACATTTTTAGTTTGTTTTTCACACGCCGCTTTTGTTCTTTTTTGTCATTTTAATGTTTGTAGTATTAAACATATGAATCAATACAACACTGTACACAATTCTTCCACTGATTCCGGTTGCGGGCCATGTCTTCAAGAGTCCTAAGTAAGCCATTGGCACTCATCTTTGGGTCCCCATCCTGGAAGACGTACGGATCCAACAGCGGCTGGACACGAGGTTAGCGATTTCATGTGCTGCCGCCAAGTGGAATGCTGACCACCACGCAGTCGCTTCTAGCCAGGTCCTTGACGAGCGAATAGAGCGCGACGCGGTAGACGCTCAGGTGCCATGCGTAGGACATGACCGAGTCATCTTAACTGGCGCAACAAAATCAGTTTGTTGAAGGAAATACTTGCATTCCCCAAGATGCGACGTCGAACGTCATTACTATTAACTTGCTGTTGCCACCAAACACGAGCGATCCTCCTTAAGCAACCGTTATCGAACGCAGAAAGACGACGCATGTCTTCCACGCGAATCGGCCAGGACTCGCACCCATATAACAATATTGAGCGAACTGATGCGCTGTAAACTCGGCCCTTTAGTTAGAATGAGACGTCGCGACGATGCCACAAGTGCCTCAGATTGACAAATGCTGATCGAGCTTTAGCGATACGACGCGAAACTTCTTTGTTGATAGTGCCGTCAGCGGAAACAGCTCACAAGGTAGACGAAACTATCTAACTGTTTAAGTTGTGCACCTTGGGAGCAGGTGAAAGCCAATCCTTGAGCAGTACTTTACACTTCGATGGGGCGAAGCTCATGCCATACTTAGATGCTTCAACCGCCAAACGATCCAGAATGAGTCGCATACCCTGAGGATCGTCACCAAGTAAGGCGATATCATCAGCATACTCTAAGTCGGTCGCGCGCTCATCCGGTAGAAGCTCTAGCCCAAAATGTTAGAAACCTTCTAGGGCATTCGACAGAAAGTCTTCGATTGCGAAGTTGAAGAGGAATGGAGACATAGGGCAGCCCTGTCGCACACCGCTATTGACAGCGAACCGAGGAAAGCTTGCCACAGACCCTCACTCTGCCGGATGTATGAAGGTAAAGTGCTCGTAAGATGGCGGTATATTTGGAGTAAAGCAGGGCCCAAAACGATTGACAGCCAGTGCTAATCAGTCCAGTGCACACCAAGAACAAAGCCGCCAGGTAGAGAGAGACAGAATGCGCTAATGGAAGACGGTGTCGCTCTCATGGATCTGGTTAATGAGAAGAACCCTCACATAATACCCGGTAATCCAAATGGGACATAAAACATCAGGAAGCATGTGATGAAATAAATAAGTAAAATAAATATTTTATTCTCGACTATGCGAGGCACGCCCATGGAGGCATGACCAGATATGTACAACTTTACAGACATTTTATGGCAACTGTAACAGTGACAGTAGAAAATTGTTCATATGTCCATGATTGAAACTGTACAATGGTGGAAAGGTGAAAAAATAATTGGGCTGTCGTGAGATCGGGACCCATTTGTTAGGACATAATTCGTCTGCCATATATTGCAGTCATACCTCGGCTAATAAAAAGAGAATCCTGAATGATCCATTAGAAGGTAATTGAAGAGCACGCTCAAGAGAGATATGACAATATAGTGAGTTCGAGCATAAGTAACGCAAAGATCAACGGTGATATCGTAAATGTGTAAGGAACCGTCCGATCAAGATTTAGATAACAAAAAGTGCTAATGTATGTCAGTGAAATCGAGCAATATTAGCGCAGATACCCAAGATGATACCATCAAGAGTACGTAACCGGCAGGCGGTGAAGTATCGAGAAAGTCACTGTGCATAGCTCCGTGGGAAGAAGAGCCACAGTTACGGTTAAAACTGGAAATAACTTATGGATGCTCGCCGACGTATTCCGGCTGGGAGCGAATACAATGAGGCTCGCAAAAATCTCAGGGCAAAACTACGTGCTAGCCTTACGAAGGACCGCGAAACCTGGTGGTCTCATCGTGCCTCTGAGATGGAAACAGCCGCTGCCATTGGTAATCATCGTAAGTTATTCCGTCTGATACGGGAAACAGGAAGCAGGAGACCTGGTGTTAGCGAGACCATACGCGACGAGAGTGGGCAGCCGATCCACAACCTGTCAAAACGCTTGGAGCGTTGGGCTGAACACTTTGCAAGACAATTCAACAAACCTGAGTTATCGCTTTCTTCTTCGGCCATTGAGCGCCCTTCTCCTTGGGCCGTCTCTTCGGATCCGCCCTCACGCGCAGAGGTCGAACATGAGATCAGGCTGTTGAAATTGCACAAGGCCGCAGGGGCAGATAGAATTCCCAGAGCCCTCTTCAAATTCGGGGGACCTGCTCTAGTAGATGATCTACACGAGTTGCTAGTAAAACTTTGGGAGTAGGAGACAGTCCCGACAGACTGGAACCGCTCTGTCATTGTCCCAATTTTCAAGGGAGGCTCCCGTTTAGAATGTGGCAATCATAGAGGGATCAGTCTGATTTCGATTGCCTCTAAATTGCTTGCCTCTCTCATTCTCCACAGACTGACTAGGACTCGTGAAAGCCAGATTCGTGAAGAGTAAGCAGGATTTCGTCAAGGTCGCGGCTGCATCGACCACATCTTCACATTGCGTCAAGTGTTGGAGCACCGCCATGTTTATTGGCAACCCACCATCGTCGTGTTTCTTGACATAAAAGGTGCCTTCGACTCAGTCGATCGATGTGCCCTTTGGGATTGTCTGCTGAGGAAAGGTGTGCCTGATAAATATGTAAACATTATCAAAGCGCTGTACGCGCATAGTTCGGGCAGGGTGATGGTTTATGGCAAACTCTTGCCACCCTTCAGTATCACCAGCGGTGTGAGACAAGGATGCCCGCTGTCACCTTTCCTCTTCAACTTCGTTATTGATGAAGTCATGGAAACAGCGTTCGCTAGACACGACCTAGAAGGTGTGGAGCTACTTCCTGGTGAGCGACTTCTTGACTTGGAGTATGCGGACGATATTGCCCTAATCTGTGACAGCTCCCAAACATGCCAAAGAGCACTAGACCGATTCGCACAGGCTGTCAATCGTTTGGGGCTATGCTTTGCTCCATCGCAATGCAAAGTACTTCTCCAAGATTGGCAGGGACCCAACCCTGCGCTAACGCTTGGTGGTGATCTGCTAGAAGTCGTTCAGGAATTCAAGTACCTGGGCAGCTATATTAGCACCCGTGGGATTGAAGATGAGGTTACGAACCGCATAGCAAAAGCTCGAGGTGCTTTTGCCAATCTCCGCCACCTGTGGCGCAGACGCGACATTACTCTCGCCCTGAAGGGCAGAGTTTATAATACAGTCGTCCTTTCAAACCTTTTATGCGGTTGTGAAACCTGGCCCATCAGGTCGACAGACATGAAGAGGCTCGTCACATTCGATCATCGCTGCCTTCGTAGCTTAGCTCATGTCTGGTGGGAACACCGCGTGAGCAATCAGCGTGTTCGACGTCGCGTATTTGGTGCAGGAAGAGCGAGTGAACCGCTCAGCACCATTATATCACGCACCAGGCTCCAATGGCTGGGCCACGTGTTGCGCATGCCAGCACACCGACTTCCGCGACGTGCATTGTTTGCGCGTTGTGGGTGCGGTTGGAAGAGGAGGAGGAGGGGAGGCCAAGTGATGACTTGGTCGAGAGAAATGAAAACCCTCACTTCGAAGTTGGCGTCGGTTGGTGCATCCCGACTGCCTGGCTGGGGTCCTAAGGACGGTGAACACGTTTGGTTGGACACACTCTGATATGGCTTGGAGCCGGCCCCAATGGCGTTTGTGTTGTGATTTCCTTTGTCCATCCCCCTCCTGTTTAGTTTCCCCCTCCAATCAGGATCTCACCTGTTAGGCATAATACGATGCTCTTTTACGGCAGCCAGCTGTTAGCTCACCGGAACGATGTCCATCCGTTACTGGGGACTCAGCAGGCGTGCCACTGTTTTCCTTTTCTTTTCTCTTGTATTGCGGCACAATAGCTGAGGTGTTTTCCACCTCCAGCCAACGTGTAATGATGATGATGATGATGAAAATAACTTCAACAGCGTCCAATAATGATCAAAGAGACCAGATTTCTTGCATGAGCAAGGTGACAGTATGTGAATATACACCTCTAACTATTGACAGTCTATAACTATGCCCTAGTTACATGCGGAAAGCGGAAGCCTGGGGGGGGGGTGGAACTCCTCACATGGTTCGGCAGGCCATATGCAATTGAACAATTAATGGTGGATGTTTGTGAGTAGTGTGAAGTTCGAAGAAAGTAGAAGCCACGATTAAAATTCACGCACAATAATATGCCTCGACGGGGAGTCGAACCCCGGTCCACGAATTTCCGGTCCGTTGCTCTACCACCTGAGCTACCGAGGGCTGACGATTAGGTGCGCAAATTTTAACACATGTCTTCTGCTTGGTGCGCGACGTGTTGCCAATAAGCTCACAGTACCTGTCCTGATGTTGCAGATTGGCTCACTCACCCGTCACTTCCCAATAGACCGAAGTTCCTGTCCTTCAGACGTCCAATGGGCGATGGTAGATTAATGGTGGATGTTTGTGAGTAGTGTGAAGTTCGAAGAAAGTAGAAGCCACGATTAAAATTCATGCACAATAATATGCCTCGACGGGGAGTCGAACCCCGGTCCACGAATTTCCGGTCCGTTGCTCTACCATTACATTTATATGCCCCGCAATAAGGACAGCCCAAATACTGCTGAAACACGTAACGATTACAAAAAGCGAGTACGAACATAAATCGGAACTACAATAAGTGCACCACGAATGGATGATAACATAAATCACAGAAAATATCTGCATAAAGTCGAAAGTAAATTACCTGAAAAATTCCTCACGTTCCCGTTCATCCATCTCCTGCGTTATGTATTGCAGAGTACGATCGATCCTCGGGATGATTACTGCGAACAAAGGCGAAAAGGGCAACGCTAAATGGTGGTTAAGAAACGCTGTTGAGGCGAGTAGATTTCGTGAGCAAAGACACGATACCAGCCAACCTGCAATGGAATACAAAGTTCCATCTACAGTGACATGAAAACACAAAAAGGGTAAAGTGAAGAGAACGCTGATATGCCAAGCATTGGATGCTTTCAATGAGTTGTCCTTAACTCTTGCTGCACAGCTAATCTTAAAAAACGTTGCACTTCTATTCGGTTGACGAGTTAAACCATCCAGGAACAGTTAATAACGGGTCGAAGTATTAGAAGTGACATGTAAACATTTCGTTGTTGTTGATAATAAGTTTGTTACGTATCTACAAACAATCACAAGGAAGTGTTCATGGACCATCAGGACACACGAAAACGATGGAGGTGCTCTGATTGTCATGCTTAGGTGGGTGCGTAACAAGCTCGGGAAAGAGTTAAAACTTAATTGAAAAGTGGACCTAGTACTGACTACGATGAAGATGCAGGTGCAACGATTGACGCTGGCCAACTCTGTGAGACAGATGGAGTTTAGGAGCTAGTGAGGCAGCGCTTATTGACTGATTCCCGGTCAATACTCGTCTTTGTGCAGTCCGTTTGGAAAGCTCAGTGCGATTTTCCAGCCACGGGACCAGTAAGACACTGCTTATTCATTGTGGCGGCGTACGCTCCAACTGACTGCAGCCCGGACGAAGCTAAAGACGAGTTCTACCGCTAACTCACCGACCTCCTCCGCAAGAAACGCCGCACGGACATCGTGATACTCGCCAGTGACCTAAATGCGAAGGTCGGTAGACTAGAGGTTCATGAGCGCAAACTTGGGGGTCAACACAGCCACGGTACTCGCAGGACGGACAACGGCGATCGACTCCTGCAACTGCGTACCGAACATGACTTTTTCCCTCCAGCATCAACTTCCGACATTCCTGGCTCCAACGAGCCACCTGGCGACCTCCTGCGCCTGAACAAGCTTGGGCGCAAATAGACCACATCGCTGTTAGTTACCGTTGGCGAGGCTGCACAACGGACTGAAAGTTAACATGGAACACCTACCTGACTTCGGATCATACGCTCTTGTGGGATAAGTTCGTTCTGCGTTTTGGAGGCACCCAACAGCGTTGCCAGAAACGGTTTGACACAGACAAGCGCGCCGTTCCAAATGTTCTCGGCGCATTTCAGAACACATTAGTTTCCAACCTACGTTCTCTAACCTCTGATGTTGAGACCCACTAGGCACAGATTTAGTGCACCTTATGAAAGTCCGCTACCTTGGTCTGTGGCTTCACTAGACGAGCTGTTAGGCAATGGATCGCCGCACAGTTTCTCCAGTTAATGGAAAGTCGTCGAACAATTCCCGCCGGAGTTGAGTACAACGCACTATGCAGAACCACAGGTGCTGAGCTCAGACAGCTCCTCAGGAAGGATCGCGAGGTTTGGTGAACACAGCGCGTCGTCCTGAAGCGCGCAGCCTCATCAGGAAACCCCGCAAACTCTTCCAACTTATTCGCTCCACGGGAGGCAGAAGACTAACAGTGAGTGAGGTTTTACGTGAAAATGACGGTGGACTAATTCACAGTCGTCACCGTCGTCTGGTACGATGGGCAGAGCACTTTGAAGATCAATTCAACTGGCCAGCAGCGCAACCGAGTCTATCTTCCGGGGTTCAAAGTGCTCCCTGGTGCATGGATGTTTCTCCACCGACAGAGGCCGAGGTTTCCAATGAGCTTCACCTACTAAAGGGCCATAAGTCACCTGGCCCAAATGAACTTCCTCCTGCCCTCTTCAAATATAGAGGTCCTGCTCTCATTCGCGAACTGACATGCATACTCCATCAGATTTGGACTACTGAAACCATTCCATCCGACTGGAATTTAGCGGATGTTTTATCTGCCCACAAAAAAGAGACCGGACCATTTGCTCCAACCATCGTGGCATCAGTCTCAATTGTGTCGCATCCAAACCGCGAGCCGCCCTACTCTTACGGAGGCTCAGTTGCGTAAGGGAGCAGCACCTGCGAGAACAACAAGCTGGATTTCGCCAGGGTCGCAGTTGCGTCGATCACGTATTTACGATCCACCAGATACATGAACATCGCCATACGTTCAGTGGATCAACTATAGTTTCATTCTTGGATATTCGAGCCACTTTTGACTCTGTTGACAGAGTGGCTCTTTGGGACTGCTTACTGAAGAAGGGAGTACCTGAGAAGTACATCAACATTCTCCGTGCTATTTACCGTTCAAGTTCGGGCCGCGTGCGAGCATACGGAGACATTTCGCCCCCTTTCAGTATCACTAGCGGTGTTAGACAGGGTTGCCCAGCCTCTTCAGTCTTGTTCAACTTCGCCATGGACGAGATCCTGGATACTACCCTGGATAACTCTGAGTCCTGCGGTGTTGAACTGCTACCTGGTGACCGCCTTCGTGACTTAGAGTACGCCAATGACATCGATGTGATTTGTGAGTCCTCCCAAGCCGCCCAGCATGTGCTGCTCAGACTGGAGATGTCCGCCGCCCAATTGGGGTTGAGCTTTGCCCCTTCCAAATGTAAGGTCCTGTAACAGGATTGCCCAAGCGCATGTCCTTCTCTCACTTTTTCGGGGCATCCGCTGGAAGTGGTCGGCAAATACATTTATCTTGGGAGTTGTCTTAGTATTGGCGGTTTGACAGATGAGATCTCTCTGCGTGTCTCCAAGGCTAGACTCGCTCTCGCTAACCTACGTCACCTATGGCTTCGTCGTGATCACAGCCTCGCTCACAAGGGATGAGTCTAAAATGCTACGGTACGAGCGATTTTGCTGGGCGGCTGTGAGACTTGGCCCGTTCGCGAAAGCGATGTTCAGCGGCTATCAGTCTTCGATCATCGTTGCCTGCAAAGCATTGCTGGTGTTCGATGACAGCACCACATCGGTAATGAGAAAATCCGTCGGCGAGTCTTCCGATTTAACGAACTCCGCCGATCGATTGATAGTATCATCTCACTGCGGAGGCTTCGCTGGCTTGGCCATGTGCTTCGCATGCCTACCCATCGGCTACCATGACGAGCCTTATTTGCGAGCACAGGCGTGGCATGGAAGCGACGAAAAGGAGGGCAATGTAAAACTTGAATCCAATGTGTTAAGGAACAATCTTTGAAGCTGGCTGTTATGGGGCGTCCCCGACTCCCGGGTTGGGGACCAAAGGACCCCGAGCACACCTGGTTGCAAACGCTGGAGGAAAGGGCTATGGACCGTACGCGATGGCGCACTTGCTGTGAGACCCTCCTACCCTAACAGTTGTTTTCCCTTTCATGCTATTCTTTTTTATGTGTTGTGGCACTCAGCCAATTATAATGTACTTGGTATAGTATTATATATATATATATATATATATATATAATATTCAACACTATACCAATTACAATATGATGGGCTGAGTGCCTGAATCGAATTAGGCTTTCGAGACCACAGTTAGAACCCCAATTGTAGCAACAATCTCTTACATTAATGCCTAAAAACTATCGGATTTCAATGTCAAGTTCAGCCATAATCCGCCGCTTACCGATTGCCACAGGACTCATTTGTCAGCTGTTGTTCTTCTGATTCGGTGTGGTTCAAGAAGGGTAAAAATGAGCGGCAACCCTGTCACCTGACGGACCACGGAATTTAAAGGAAGCGAACATGTTATTGTCTGGTCAGGTGACTGCAAAACAATTAGCAGCTGTCGCATGTCGTAGAGGCTGGACTATCAGCTCAGTGCATAGTGCAAAAAAGCGTTTCGAACATCACACCAGCAAAAACAAATAACAACGTGCATTTGTAATATCTGCAATGATGTGTTGAAACTATTACCAAGCGTTAACTTTAACAGCTAAATTTTTCAGGTAGTACTGTGATCTTTGATTTCAGTTTCGATGGTTTTCCCGGCGAGCGGTATAATCTGTTATTCAGTGATAAAACTACCGAAGGTTTAGAAACACTACTAACTCTCTTATAACATACCAGCGTACCACTGAAGTTAACAATATCCAAAGTGACTTGAAAGCCATTGAGAGATGGGCTGATGGGTGGCAGATGACGTTTGCAACATCGAAGTGTAGTATTCTAGCGTATGGATGCCAGATATCAGCAGAAATGTTCAGGCTTCATGACGAAGTCATTCCCATCAGCCAGTCTGTTCGTGACTTAGGTTTAAGATATTCTAGTTCGTTAAACTTTAGCGAACATACAAATCATATCGTGAAAAAGGCTAAGCAGTCGGTCGGACTCATATGCCACCTGCTGACCTTGAAAGAAACCAGACTACTTGCTTCCAAAATCAGTGTCAGGCCTTTGTTTGAATATCGCTGTGTTACCTTCAGTAACTTGCGAAAGGGGGATTTGCGAGCCATTAAAAACGTCCAAGGCGCCTTTACGAAGCGCATATTTGTCTATTCAATCGCTCTTTCATACCGAGATAGGTGCAAGCAGTTGAATCTTGAACCTCTGTGGTTACCAAGAATGCAATTAAATCTGTGCTGCCTCCACAAATTCGCGTGGCGAAAAGCATATGTTGGAACCTATCAATTGCACTTTCGGGATAATATCATTTATGAACTGTGAGATAGTGAATGTATATTCTCTTTACCTAAATTCAAGACTAGCCTAAGGAGAAATTTCTACCTTCTTAGGTATGGCTCCATATGGAATAAGCTGCCAAAAGAGATTAGATGTATTGAACATTTTTGCATGTTCAAGGAAATGATAAAGGTTTATCTGTCAATGGACAGAGTGAAATGGATCTTAAAAATTCAATTTGATGATGAAAAACTGTATGAAGAAGGGCCGGATCATGTATGATACCGGAGAACATCGACTCGAATGCACTAGAGAAAATATGATCATCTAGGATGGGCTGCTACAAACCGCTTCTTACACTATTCTTTAATGCTAGATCCTATGCGATTTTACTCCTTTCAAACTTAATTCATACCAACTGTCTTCTGTTTAAAACCGAGAA